GGAGGGGGGAGGGGCTTAAAGGGGAGTAGATGGAGGGTTATTGTGCATGGGGTTGGGGTTGGGGTTGGAATGGGTGTTTAGGGTTTTAGGGTTTGGGATGAAGGCGTGGAGAAGGGTGTTAGGGCAAGCGAACGCAAATGCAAACTACTACCCCAAGCAGCGAGCAGTGTGGTGCACCAGCACGGCAAAACACACACTTTTCGGAGCTAACTTTTCACTCCATGATGTCGCACCTGCACGATAGCCCTTGTTGGCCTGTCAGCGGCTTCACAGCTCCCCTAGACTAACCAAAGGGTTGTCATCATTATAATAAAGAACAAGTAGGGACTTTGTTTCCATCCCCCTTTTTGACCTTGCGCTTCCCTTGCCCTGCTTGCCTGCTTACCACATCATTGCCGACCGACCGACGGACCGACCGACCGACGGACCGACGGACCGACCGACGGACCGAGCAGTCAGCGCCGCCGCCCGGGAAGTCGTTTCCCTGGCCAATCAATCCGCAAACAGCTTCGCAAACGCCGACAACCTCTCAGCGCTGCGCCAGCGCGCCGTCGCCGGCCTGGCGCTGCTGCACATGTACGGCGATCTGCTGCGTGATGCGCCGCCGCCGCCAGCTGCCGCCGCGGCGGCGGCAGCCGCCACTGGCGGCGCCGCCGGCGGCGCCGCCGCCGGCATGGGTCTCCACGCTGCGACGTCAGCCTTCCGCGACCTGGTCGCCGCCATGTCGGCGTTCGCGCGGCCGTACTGCGGCCGTGGATGTGTACTGCACATGCTGGCGGCGGACGCGGCGGCGGAGCGGGCGGCGTTTGAGAAGCTGGTTTCGGAGATGACAACGTTGGCCGACGACCTCATGAATCGGGCGACAGGCAGTCGCGGCTGGGACAAGGTGCCGCAGTCGCTGTCGGGACGAGCGGACGATGCACTGCTGGTGCTGCGCCTGGGACCGTCGTACACGGTACGGCGTGTACGACAAGACGGCGATCTGACAAAACCTTCTTGATAGCTTGTTTTGGGAGAAGGGGGAGAGGGCGCAGGGCGTGGGAGTTACCTTCTGGCGGTTTCTGCTCAGAGTATCGTGTGGCGCG